AGAAACACAAGAATAGATTAAACATAGTCATTTTACAGTTTCAGGATTCCATAGAACCAGCTGACACAAATGGAGAAACCAGGAAGTGTTTGGCTCATCAAAATTACCTCATCAAAAACGTTTTAAAGAACCGAGAGCAACATGTAGAGCTCTGAGGCGTCACTGCCTCTGTTAGTTCATGATTTAACAACAAGAAAGAGAGATGGGAGGGGAACACTTCTGCTAATCTAATAATTAGCACATTTAGTGCTTTTGCTAACTTTGAAAACTTTTTAGCACTTTTGGGTTCCCCTAAATTCTAAAGCACTAATTTGCTGTTTTGTAAGCCTTTAGTTGAATGAAGTTGAATGTCGGTGTTGAAGCTTTTGTTATAAACTCCTAAGAATTCTTCATGTATGTAGATGTTTATATTCATGCTCTTATTTTGAAGTCTCCACTTGTGAGAATTATGTTTACTTTGTACTCAGAGTTCTGTAAACAGTTTAAAATCTCCTGATGTCCTGCAGGCTTTCTGACCGAATCCCTACTGTGGTGGAACAGGGTAAATTAGCATCAGAGCTAGCAAAACTCAACAACTATCAAGCTGAAACCATTCAAATCCTCCAGTCTGAGTGGATCAAACCATTAGAGTCCAGTCTGCCTCTGTGATAATAGTCATCAAACACCGAGTTGGTTGTTTTTAATTAACTCAAGGAATCAAGTTAAATGAATCTGCAGCCAGCATATAGATTGAGGGCACATATCATTCTCAGGTTGTTGTTATACAACCTGATGTTGAGGTAAAGGTTGAGGTAAAGGGCACATCAGCTCTAACTTCCTCACTTTCAGAACCCAGACCTGACACTTCTTCATCGGGCCAATTGTTCGGTTTGTTTCTTCTTCCACAAGGTGTTTTTGTTTGTGATTAGTGTTTCACCATGAGGGGAAATAACTAAAAATAACTTTTATGGTTTCCTCACTTGAGTTATGTCTCGCCTTTTCCAGTGGCCATTTTGTAGCGGTAAAACCAAACATGCTGGAGTTCAGCATGGAGTTCAGTTGGGTTGCTAGGCAATGGGGTTAGCTCAGCTGGGGTTGCTGGGTAACAGGCAGTGGCTGCTGATTTGTGTCTCGACATGCTGAAGGTTTTTCAAACGGCTCATTTTCCAGACACCAAACATGAACTTATTGCCTAAAAACAGCTGCGTGGTTTTGTTTTCGGCCCTTTTGTTCTTTAGAAGCAGTCGAGGCAAAAATGGAAGAACAAAAACATCCAACAATGTTTAACATCAGATATTGATTTTGACCCAATTTTTAAGAACAGCATACTCAAAAAAAGAGGCATTACTGGACAGCAAATATTTTATCTACATTGTGTTTCTTTTTTATTGTCATGGTTGAGGAAACTCTGCAAAAACACGAAATCTTACCAAGTATTTTTGGTCTGGTTTCTAGTCAAAATATCTTAGTACAAAACTAACAAAACTAACGTATAAGTAAGTTTTCAGCAAAATAAAGTAGATAATAAGTAAATAAATCCTTAATTTTGATTTTTAAAAGGTGTTAGTTCCACTGGCAGATTATTTCACTTATAAAAACAAATTTTTCCAACATTATAAAAGAAATAACCTGCCAGTGAAACTAATACTTTTCATGAATATGAAGGAATTATTGACTTAAATTCCTATACTTTGCTGAAGTTACTTGTTATGGAAAAGTTATTTATTTTAAATGTACTAAGATGTTTGGACTATAAATGTCACCAAAAATAATTTAGTAAAGACTTTTCTGGATTGCAAGTGTCTTTTTGTTATTTGTTATGTATTTGCCTCAGTTATTGTTATTTTTGATTTGACCAGCCTCGTTATGTTTTACTTAGATTATGCTCTCTCTCTCTCTCTCTCTCTCTCTCTCTCTCTCTCTCTCTCTCTCCCCACAACTGCATCCTGTTAGCCAATCAGCTCCCAGTATTTAACCTCCTCTCTGATTCTCTGCTTCCTGTTTGTTTACCTGCTGTTGCACCATATGTCTCTTCATATGTAAGTTGTTGTTTATTTATCATTAAATTAATTTTTACTCCCCTCTTAATCTGCTACACCATCTACAAACCAAATCATCAGCCAGAAACCTAAAACAGCTGCTGGGTCATGTTTTTATGAACGGTTTATTTTTCCCGTCAGGTTTTTCTGCCTTGAATATCAATAAGGAAACTAACGTCAAGCTGTGAGAACAGATCCCTGAAAAACGTTGATCTTTTTCTTGACGACCTCCTCGACCCAGTTCGCCTCCTCGAGTCAAAACCACAAAACCACATCCTGAAACAGAGCCTTAAAATAAACAGCTTCTCTGGTCGTCTGTGCCGCTTTCTGCAGGTTTACTCATGGCTCCAAAACATCTAATCTGAAAAATGGTTTTAAAATCTGTTGAGTATGAAAGTGTCTCTTGCATCAGACACCAAAAGAAACAAAACAAATGAGTAGAAAAAAATAAGTTTTATAACTTCTGGCAGTTTGTTAAAGAATTTTGTTTAACTAAAAGAGTTTGTAGCCAATTCAAAAGCAGCTGGAAATTGGTTAAATGGGGATTAAAATACAGTGAAAAGTGATAGAAATTATCACTGTAATTCACATTATTTTTAAACAACTTGGTGCAACTACAGAAAAATGTTTTATGCATTTTCTAAAACTAATTGGAAAAAGTAAATATCACTACAAACAATGGGCTTTTCTAAATGTAATCTGGGTTCAGTAATTCATGAGAAGAGTGCTAATAACTTTACCTAAATAAATAATTAACTCAAGAGTGTAGCTCCACCATCTCATGAAGCAGATCACTATTTCTCCTCCAGATAAAACAAACTTTAATCTCTTAAGCATAAAGGTGATTTAAAACAACTGACAAGCAAACAAAACTCATTATTTTTGCTCCAAGTGAAAAACGGAACCGAGTTTTACAATATAACAAACTGCTTTGCTTATTTCAGTTTTGAATCTACAGAAAACAGCTGGCTAAGCTAATGCTAGTTAGCTAAGCTAATGCTAGGTTACTATGAAATTACTTGTGTGGATTTGGTGAATGAAATAAAAACAAATATGATCCTGGAAGATTTTCCAGATGTTTATTTAATTTTCAGGACTATAAACATGTTAAGACTCACTATTTACTGATAAAACAGTTGTTAGCTAGTAGATGTTAGCATTTGCTGTCTTACAGGTTCTTTTCACTCCTTTATGCGAAAACGATACAAAATGTTAAATAATAAATAAAACTTAAGAGTTCAAGAGTAAAATACATGCATGGAAAACATAATATTTAACATTAAACAAATTATGATGCACTGAATAGCCAGTTCATTTTAAACTTCACCACTTCTCTCCTTCTGTTTTATTCATGAATACTTAGCTTTTTCTGCTAGGTCAGTCGAAAAGAGCTTCTCTTCTCCAACATGCTGACCTCATCCAGAATCTGGATTTGAACCCAGAACCTTCAGAGCCAAGAATGCAGAGATGTGGAAACCTTCTCAGTCATGAACAAACCATTGTTTTGTCCCGGGTTGCGTTTTTGGAAATTCAGGATCTAAGCTGTAAGCCCTGATTGCTGCTCATTGTTATGAAAGTGGGAGATTTTTGTGTGTGTAGCAGGTTTTACAATCCTGTTTAATTGGGACCAAGGGTTACTGTGGAGGATTCTGGAGCTACAGGCTTACAAAAACTGAGAAGTACCTCAGAGTGACGGAGCAGCTCAGACAGAACAGCCTGTAGATGGTCAGGATCCATGCAAGGAAAATAATGATCATCTCTTGGTTTCTACAAACTGATATAATTATCTTCATGCAAATGTCTTCTCTCTACAGGAGCTGCCAGCTGGGGAAATGAAGTTTCCATGAAGCCCATCAGTCATAAAGCTGTGCATCATTGGTTCATTCATTAGTGAGCGCAAATAAAACAGGAAGTCAGTGAAAGTTGGAGGAAGAACAGCCGAGCTTCCCTTTGATTAAGTTCTCTAAATCCAAAAGATGTCAACAGAGACGGTCGACAAGGACGGAAGAGGAACCAAAACCTCTAAAACGTCAAAGGATCACAAAAAGGTAAAAAAAAAAAATCCCCTCGTTTGACAAATTACTTCTGATTTTTAAAATATAATTTCAGAAATATTTAATTATTGACAGTATTTTTAATGTTGAAATGTTAGGTGCAACTTTCTCCCTAAGTTTCATGTGAGAGTCGTTTATCAATGCAAATGTTTTAGTATCAGAACAAAATATTTAAAAGGTTTAGCCATGACGATGAGATCACTTTACTCTAGTTACAAGATCTCAATCAATAGACTTTTATTAGATAAGATAATCCATTATTAGTCCCACAAGTGAGAAATTTAAGCCGCTACAGAAGAAAGTGGACAGAACAAAAGAATAACAGAAATAAAACACAGTACAGTGCAGAAAAACTCCAGACTAGCTAACCTAGAAATTTAAATATGAAAATGTTAATATATTCTACTTTGGTGTAATCTGCAGCAGCTGCATGATCATTAAAACAGCCAAAATGTCTGAAATATTTTTACAAAACCATTATAATAATTGACCTGCTGGGCATAATTTACAATGATGATGTTATCCTGGTTTTCAAAACTAATCTCAAGCAACCTCATAATATCTTGTTAAAATTGGTTTTGAAAGTGGAAGTATGTAAATAACTTTAGTTTTTTCACCAAGACTGCAGAACTTTGTGTAAACTGGTGACTTTTGATGTCTTGACTCCTAATTTTATAGTATTCTGGTGATCTATGTTTTATTTTTTTGTCTTTTTTTCCCCTTTTAGGTCAGATAAATATTTCTGGAGGTTGGGGGTTTCCTAAGCCAATTAACTGAGTTTTTGAAGCATTCAGGGTTAAAATTTAGGAGTTAACTTTAGGTTAACTTCAACCATCAAAATCTCACAAAAACAATATTTTCCAAACTTTGTTGAATCTATGAACTGCCCTAAATCAAATGTAGTTTCCCTCAATTATTTTGAGTCCTAAATCTTACCATACAGCGCTAACATTACATTTCATTATTTGTTAGCAGCACTTGCTAGAAATATAGATGGTTGGTTAAATAAGTTTAGTTGTCCACTACAGTAAAAGCTAATAATTTTGTAGAGTTTCAATATTTTATATGTTTGTCAAATGTGAAATATTGTATGAACTTTCTTTTTTTTCTTATTTCCTTATTGTTCATTCAAGCTAGCTTTAAAACGCTGCTAGCTTTATAAAGCTGCAGGCTATAGATGGGTGTCACTTTAAAAATGCAAACAAATTGACACAGATATGATCAGATTACATGCTGGACTAGTCCAGTATTTGTGGAGAGGAACATGATATTGTGTTTTTCCCAGAAATGGATCTAGGCTATTTACACCAACATTCAGTTAGCAAGTGGTGCTAACAGTTAGCGGCTACACGCTAGCATAATTCCAAACAACACCACGGGCTCAGGGTGAGGCTGAAAGTGGTTAAACATCCGTGCATTTCTTTGTTTCTGAGGTCACCGCCACCACTGAACATGTTTACAAGCTAATTAACACGAAGCCAAGTGCAGCTGAGGGAGTCAACAGAGTCATTAACATGATTTATCCCGAGGGGAACGTGCTAATCCGACACTTTTAACTAGACCAAATGTTAACACATGCTAAATATAGCCTGTTCGTGACGGGGGAAAAGTAAAGGTTATGCGTGGAGACAAGAAAGAAGTAATTAGTTTATTTTTTTAAATTATAAATGTGTTTGTCAGCCCACACCAGAGGCCCTGAAAGGAGCCATCCAGCTGGGAATCGGTTATGCTGTTGGAAACCTGAGCTCCAAACCCGACAGAGATGTTCTGATGCAGGACTTCTCCATGGTAGAAACCGTCTTCTTACCCAGGTAAATGTTTACATACAGTGTAAATGGGGCTAAATCAATTTCAGTTTAGTGCAGAAACTAGTGTAATAACAGATAGTTAGTGTCTCACATTTTGTTTATCCAGGAAAGAAAATGGAGACTTGACTATTTCTCCTCATAAGATTGAGAATAGTTTGAGCTCAGTTAGCCAACCTATTAACGGTGAAATGGCCCACCACCCAGGGCAGCACATCCTGTGGGGGCGGCTGCACTCTGAAGTTTATTACTTGTTATGTAGAATGGATTAGCATACAAACTGGTCAAACATGAACTGAATGTTTTATTTGCTGGTGCATAGTCTCATAATGAAATAATCTGCCTGTTAATTTGTGTCTAATCATTAAATGGAGGAAAAAAATGCAAAATTATTTTAAACAAATCAATTGAGATACAGCCTCTAAAAGATCAAACTTCCTGTTTCTCTGAGGTACAAATAAGACTTTCTGTCCTACCATCTCAAACATAAATGCATAATTTAATAAATACTACTGGGACTTGTATTACACATACACTACAGTTGTGTCTGACATGAATATTTAGTGTGCAATAACAAAATATCAGGGCATTTTAGATAGAAATCTAGTTTTTTTGTCAGAAAAATGAAAATTGGTGTTTGAGCTGAATAATAATCCATAATATATGGAGAAATGATTCACCATGTGAAAAATCAACTTTATTAGTCAAAATGAAATATTTGGCCATAATCTTATCCAGATCTAATGATTAGAAAACCTGTTAGGTGATGCCAAGAGTAGAAAGTGAAAGGTTTAACTCCAACCTAATGAAATGTTATAGTTTCTGTCCAGCTGGTTTCCAGTTGTACAAATATTACCAACATGGTTGCCAGTGACTGTGGCACAATTTACTTTTCAATCAATCAAATTTTATTTATATAGCACATTTCAGCAGCAAGGCATTTCAAAGTGCTTTACATAATTAAAATAAAAACCGCATGTGACATTGAATAAACAGTGAGAAAGAGACATTTTGAAAAAGATTAAAAACATTTTAATGTTTCTTTTTAAGAAATATTTCTGAACATTTTTGTTGCCGAAACTTAAATCTTTCAATAGAACAAATTAATGGAGGAAAACACATGTCTACACAAGGTGTTGGTTTAATTTTACAAAAACAAGCCGTCACTCTTGGTCAGACATTTTCTGGAAATGTGATGTCAGAAAACACTTTAGCAATGCTTGGTTTACCCTCTGACTGTTCAAACAGCGTCACCAGTTAACTAACATTTCTTATTACCATTATCTCCAGTGAAGGCAGCAACCTGACTCCGGCGCATCACTTCCCAGATTTCCGGCTGAAAACGTACGCGCCGCTGGCCTTCCGCTACTTCAGGGAGCTGTTTGGGATCAAGCCTGACGACTATCTGGTGAGCTGAAACCACAACGTCACACTGACTCGTCACCATGGTGATGTGAGTTTCCGTGTAACTGGTTGCGAAACGGTCTGACTGTTGCGTCACTGCGTCTCAGTACTCCATCTGTAAGGAGCCGCTGATAGAGCTGTCCAACCCCGGCGCCAGCAGCTCCTGGTTCTACCTCACCAGTGACGACGAGTTCATCATCAAGACGGTGCAGCACAAAGAGGCCGAGTTTCTGCAGAAGCTGCTTCCTGGGTACTACATGGTGGGTGGCTGAGTCACACGTTTCCCAACAGTGACATCATCAGATGCTCGTCTTCCCACAGAGCGCTCTGCACTTTTCTGACACTTAAATCTTCTAGATCACATATTTAACCGGAATAAAAACTAAAAGCTCTTTTAGTTTTTTCTCTTTATTTGTTAAGAGAAAAGAAATACTGAAATAAATGGTTTAAAGTGTAACCATTATGCTTCCTTGAACAGGTTAGTATCAGTCTATGGCCTATACAAAACATGTTTATTACAATTTTAGCATAAAATAAATCTTAGATAATGAGATTTTGGCTGTTTTAGGGGAACTTGTCACTTTAAATCCAAATAAGCTGCTGGCCACGCCCCCTAACTCAACTTTTAACACTTGCGTGAAAATGGCTACATACAGATTCACAATTATACAACTGAACATCTTTGAAAAGCAGAAGTGGAGCCTCCTGCATAACCAGCAGTGGTTTCTGGATGCTAAGTCAACATCTAAACACTTGTCTCTTCCAACAGCCATGTTGCATCGCATACAGCGGTAAAACCAGCTGACTAAGCATCCTGGAACTCTATTGGGGTTGCTAGGTAACAGGACAAAGTTTGCCTGGGGTTGCTAGGTAACGGGTGGTGCCTGCTGATACTTTACATTCGGGAGGTTTTTGAAACGGATCATTTTCCTGACACCAAAAATGCCTTGGTGGGTTTTTCAAGCAATTTGGATGTTTTCAGAAGCAACAGAGGCCAAATAAGTGTAAAAAATTTGTAATATGCGAAAGTCCAATTTAAATTCACCACCTTCACCCAACCCTGATACAAATAGACCTCTTGCATGAACTAATCCCTTCAATAGGACCCTTGTGACAACTTGAAGTAGGCCAGAAGAGCTCAAAGTGCAATTCGTAATGAATGGATCAAAATTACTGATGAGAACAAGCGAAAAACAATCGTTTCTAAATCTTTGACTCCAGAAAAACGGTTGTCCACAAATGGAGAAAATATGAAATGGTACTAAACTTTCCCACCTAATAGAAACATGTATTTTATATGCAGTTACATTTTTATAAGACTAAGTTTCAGCAGCACGTAAAGACGGTGCAGAACCAACTTTTATTTCATTCTCGCATAAAAACATCAGAATTTCAAAAAAAGTTATGTATAATAAACTCAATCATTGAGTTATGCATATTACATATACAACTTTGATCAGAAGGATCTGGGTAGCATTTCTTTGGTTTAAATAAAAAGTCATTCAAAAATTTATTTTATATTTAATCAGGTTATCTTTAAGGTTTGTTATATTTTAATTTGACTAAGTGAAAAATGAAGGAATTTCAGGGGAAAGACTTGCTTAAAAATAACTAAACTCCACCGTGTCTCCATGTCTTCCCCGTTTGTTCTGAATCAGAATCTGAACCAGAACCCGCGCACGTTGCTGCCCAAGTTCTACGGCCTGTACTGCATCCAGTGCGGCGGCGTGACGGTTCGCGTGGTGGTGATGAACAACGTTCTGCCTCGAGCCATGAAGATGCACTTCAAGTACGACCTGAAGGGCTCGTCCTACAAACGCCGCGCTTCACGCAAGGAGCGCGTGAAGAACTCGCCGACCTTCAAGGACCTGGACTTCCAGGAGATGCACCAGGACGGGCTTTACTTCGACCCGGACACCTACAGCGCCCTGATGAAGACGCTGCAGAGGGACTGCAGGGTGAGCAGGACGCACTGCAAAACACTGCATGTTAGATTTAGTGGAAATAACTTGATACACTTGAAATAAAGCAAAAACTTTTCAGCTTGTTTTAAGTCAATAATTCCTTAATATGGATGAAAATAATTTATAAGTAAAATAATCTCCCAGTAAAACATTTAAAAATTGTAACTTGTTTGGGAAAATGTCTTGTTCTACTGGTTGATTATTTTTCATCAATATTAATGAATTATTGACAACAACAAGCTCCTATTACTTGCTGAAAAGTTATTGATAAGTTAGTTTTGTCTTATTTCAAGTGAACTTAAATATTTGTACTAGAAACTAAACCAAAGGTGCCTGTTCAGACAACAACTTTTATTTGTTGCCTAAACTGGGCTGTGTTTTTATTCTGACTAAAACATTAGCTGCGATAATCATAAATATTAACTCCACTGATGCTGAAGGGTTTTCCAGCGCAGCATCAAAGGGAAACTCCTGGACTGAATTCATGGCTGCAAAAACATAAAATCTGACCAAGTGTGGTCTAGTTTCTAGTTCAGATATCTTGGTAAACGTGAAATAAAACAAAACTTACTTTTCAGCAAGACATAGGAGCTTGTTGGGAATAAATAATTCCTTATTAAGGAATTAAAATGGAAAAAATATTAGCTCTATGATACGAGACATTAGTCTCATTATGTGTATTTTCCCACGCTGTACTTTTACTTCAGTCTTTTTATCATGAAGTGTTTCTACTCTTTAGTAAACTTTCTGGATTTTCTACCCACTGAAAAACAAACATGATTTAACTAAAACCTCACCTGACACACACCTGCAGTTTCTGTTAGTTTTTTAAGTTTTTTATTAAAAAAAACTGATTTGGAAACATTTTTTTTGTTATATGAATTATTGTCATTTTGGTTCTTAAAATACCAAAATTTCCCCTTAACTTTATATTTTGGTCCATCTGAAGATGTAGTTTTTAAGCTTTAAATGATAATTTGATAAGTTACTCAGAACTTGAGTAACTTTACCAAATACTTTTTGTCATTTCTTGGACGGATACTTTGTACTTCAGCACAGTTTTTGACAACAGCTCTAAACCAACAGCCAGAGTGGTTTTAGTTAGAAAGGCCTAGTCAAAGTCATAACAATGGCTGTGTTGCATTGTATTGCCGTAGGAAAACCTGCAGAAGTTTCCAGAATCTACATTTTAACTTCATGTTTCCAGTAAACTGAAGATCATGTGGTTCTAAAATACAGAAATGAAGGTTTGTGAGCACAGGCAGCCATGCTAACTGCTCAGCTGATCACTAATAGAAATAAATCTGAGCTTACAGAGGAATATTCATTAGTGAATCAGCAGCTGGAGCTTATTTCCACTATCAGCTCATTTTACTTGCTTGTTGTTCCATCAGACCAAACACTCAAAGAAATTGAGTCTCAATCAACTTATCGGTCCTCAGCGGGTTTCGCTCTTTGCTCCTCGCTAAGCCGATGATCGCCGCACAATTCCCCACTTTGATGACGTTACGCAACACAGCAGAGCAGCAGGCTGAGCCGACGTCTCTGCTTCTGTCTGTTTCACTAACGGAAACAACAATGGCCACTTGATTAAGGATTAGCACCTGACCAGCTCTAACTGGTCGGCTGTGTGGAACATCAGTCTGTGTGTTTGGTAACTCGGTGTGTTAAGAGTCTCTTTGTTCAGAGGCTTACAGCGTTCTGCACTTTCTGGTTTAACCTTTTTAAACTTTAATACCAGCTTACATGAATCCCAAAGTCCATTTTCTATCTTTTTAAGATAGAAATGCTTCAAACAATACTTTAAAAAGTCACATCTCTACAATTGTGAAGGATTCTTTTTTTCAAACTGTATGATGTAATATTCAGTGCATACGTCTAAAGTGGATATTCACAACTTCCTGCTTGTAGCTGAATTCTGCAGATTCCCTCTAGAGACTCTAACTGCTTATTTTTAAAGATCAAACACCAAATACGTCTCAACACACACAGGGGAAACTGTCTTAGCAGAAGCTAATGGCTACAAACATGGCTAATAAACTAGATTCTGATCAAGCTAACGGCTAATCAGAGTCAAGCTAATGGCTAATCGGAGTCAAGCTAACGGCTAATCGGAGTCAAGCTAATGGCTAATCGGAGTCAAGCTAACGGCTAATTAGAGTCAAGCTAACAACTGTTTGCTGTTGAGATAAAAAGTACGAATCAAAACTTTGGTGTCATGCTAATAGCTAACCAGTGGTGAATGTCTTAGTTGTGAATTTATGATGCTGTTTTAGGAAAATTGTAGATTTAAAAAGAAGAAAAATCTCAGGAGTTTTCTAGATAAAACAAAAAACTTCAAAGTTTGAAAAGTCAAAAATCAGTTGGACAAAAAAAACAAAGAAATTGAGATTAATCTCAAACTTTTCAGAAAAATACGTGAAAACTTCTGGTTTTGAGAAATGGAAAATTTTTGACTTTTGGAAATTTTCTGAGTTGCAAAAGTTGAAAATTTTAAACTTTTGAAACTAAAAACTTTATTTTTTGGGGGGCAAATTTCTGTTTTCTGGCAGAAATGTTTATATATTTTATTTTAATCTACAATGACTCAAAACAATCCTCAGTCTTGTCGTTTATAGCTGGTTTTCAGTTCTCCTCCTTACTTCTGTCCCCTCAGGTCCTGGAGAGCTTTAAGATCATGGACTACAGTTTGCTGCTGGGCGTCCATGTGCTGGACAGGAAGCCGCTGAGCAGAGGGAACCGCTGCGACAGCAGGAGAGGACAGAAGGTCCTCTACTCCACCGCCCTGGAGTCCATCCAGGGGAACCTGAAGGACCCAGAACCGGTCGCAGACGACGACACGTCAGCAAACATCTCATTAAAAGTTATTCTCTAATCAAACTGGAGATTAAATATGTTTAAATAATCGTCTCTGCTCTCTCCAGGTTGGGTGGGATTCCTGCCAAACACAAAGATGAAAACCTGCTCATCTTTTTGGGAATCATTGATATTCTTCAGTCATACAGGTAACACAAAAAACACGACGCAGCGTTTTAGGGCCGTGGTGGAAAACAAAGGAGTACATTTCAACCAAAAATTAGTTTTTTAGAAAGAAACTTGGACATTTGAGTCTTTTTTGCTTTTCAAACAGATATGTTTCCAAGTTGTTTGTTTTCTAAAGAAAAAAAATGTACATTAATCTCAAAATTTTCAATTTTTTTCTAGCAGCTTGGTCCTTAAAATACCAAAATTTCCACTTGACTTTTAAAACTGACATTTTCACTTTTTCTTCAACACTCTAATTCTGACATTAATCAAAATTCTGTTTAAATTTGATTGATCTTTTCCAACTTTCTTGTTGTTTTCCAGGTTCATTAAGAAGGTTGAGCACTCCTGGAAGGCTCTCGTTCACGACGGGGTCGGTTTGTAAACCTGTGCTTCTGTTTTACCCACAGATTGATAAATGTTTTGTTTGACCGTGTCTCTGCTTACAGGACACCGTGTCGGTCCACAGGCCCGGTTTCTACGCAGACAGGTTTTTAAAGTTCATGGGAACGACTGTTTTCAGGAAGCTTCATCGTAAGTTTAGCTTTCTGCTTTATTTATCCTCCGTTTATAGTCTGTTTGTGTTTCATGAGTTTGTTTTCCGTTTCCATGACATCAGCTTTAAGAGGAGCGTCTTCCAAGAGGAAGAGGAGTTCCCTCCATGCAGGGAAGTCGGCGTCTCAGGAGTTTCTGTCCACACAGAAAGAGAAGGAGGAGAAGAAGGCGCAAAGCATGGACAACCTGGATGGAAACTGTAAATTAAACTTTACTTCCATGTTTTTTTTAAAAAATGTTATTTATATTTTTTTTATCCCTTCTGATTCACTTTCTGGTGTTTCAACAGTTTACAGTTCCTCCAAACAACCAGATCTGCTTCCCAAATCTGCTCTGACTGAATCCATCCGAAACGACGAAGAGGAAACTGAAAACAGGTACTTTGTCTCCATGGCAACCTTCTAGGTTCACATCCTGTTGTTTTCAACAATAACAGGAAAAAAAAACCTTTGTTTCCTGATATGAAAACCCCAAATACTGAACTCAGTTCACCTCATATAATGCATCCGATTTGATGTGAAATAATTTTGGAATCATTTCATTAAGACGTTTTGCATCTAAAGTGACAACAATTTGTTTTAAAGCAAATATTTTCCCCTAAAATGCACAGAGGTGGGTAAAGTATCGAAACATTTCACTCAAGTAAAAAGTATTAATCCAAGAAACTATTCTAGAAAGAGTGAGAAAGTATTTGGTGAAAATTCGACTCAAGTATTGAATAACTGATGTTTCCAAATCAGTTTCTTTCAATTAAAAAACTTATGAAACTTTAACAAAATCTGCAGCTGTGTGTCTGTCTGGATTTTTGTTTTCATTCAGTGGGTAGAAAATCCAGAAATTTTACTCAGAAATAGCAATACGTCATAATAAAATTACTCAAGTAAAAGTAATTGAGTAAATATAAGTAGTTACTATTCAACTCTGAAAATGTAAAGTGCATAAAAATCTAAAATAGTTTTTTTCCTGTACCAGTGACGATCGCCGGGACTCCAGCTCCACTTTAGCTCTGGACGATCCGCTGCCGTCGCTCAGCAGGAGCCAATCAGACTCTGAGTTGGATGTTTACTTGGTATGAAACGTTTTTATCCACAACTCTAAATGGTTCCAAGTTACTGATAATAAACACGATATTTATAATACATCTGCGTTATTCCTTTCTGCTAAATGCAACACTGCTGACCAGTTAGAATCAAATTCAACATAATTTATTATCACTTGTACTTGATGAAAGAAGGGAAATGTAGACTCATGATTCATCAGGTTGGATTTGTTTTTGTAAAAATCTCAGTTTTATTACTAGCATGTCTTGCACAAGCATTCATAGCCCTTAAATCTTCCCCTATTTGTCGCACCGCAACCAGAAATCTGTTAATTTTCAATAGAGGAAATAAAAATGCCAGGTTTTCATAATTTTTCACAAGAAAACTTTTTTAAAGTCAATTAAACATAAATAAAATCTAGAATTTTTTTCCAAAGCTAAAAAGCTATGTGCAGTAATGATGATTTTTTGTTGTTGTGTTAATCAGAAAGCTCTAATCATAAACATATAGGATAAGCTAATGCTGGGATGCTAATGCGTCACACCAAGACGGTATTTAGAAGAAGCTAATGCTAACCTGCTAACTTTAAATCATATCTACCTTCGAAACACTACAACCTTTGAGCACCAATTAAATTTTTATGTAATAACTAACATGCACTATAATTACATGTTTATCTAATTCTCAACTGTCCGTTTTTATTTTGTTGTGTAGTTTCCTGTTTTAAATAGTTATTGCAGAAAAAACAGGACAAAACTTGAGAGGAAACGGAACTGCTGCTAAAACAGCATTCGCCTCCTTCAAAATAAGAGCGTGAACATAAACGTCCAACTGCTTGAATGAACCTTAACCGTCGATAATTTAAACACGGATGTTGAACTTTTTTTCTACTTAAAGTTTATGAAACATCCAAGAAAATATCCGTAAAAATTAATCTGCTGGAAGCTAAGTGCTAAACGTGTTGAAAGTTGGCAAAACCGCTAAACAAAAAATTAGCTTCACTATTGGCGTATTAGCAGAAGTGTGCCCACCACTGTCTATTTATAATATTAAAATATAAAGTTTATTGTTACACAGGGAAGAAAAAGTTCATATTTTTGTAAGGAGTTGCCAACATTTTAGTTCTGAAATGCCTTTTTTTGTTTTAGTAGGCGGTGTAGCTTCTAATATTTCCTTTCTTTGATTATCAAAGATTATCACCAACACCTTTAAACTGCCCACTTTTTTTAAATAACATCCTACATTTCTTTACAAAATGTGGCCTTAATACATTTTCAGCCTCATACAGACTCGCCCAGGCGACCCAGCTGGAGCTGATCACTCGTTTGTGTTGCAACATCCATAAAAATGTAAGCATTAAATTACATCTACAAACATTTCCATTCACTTGTTTTTCTTCTTCTTTAAACTGGAGACGCTGAGGGACTTCTGGGGATTCGGTTTTCCCTTCATCAGACGTTCTGGGACAGAAATAGAAACCCGTAGATTACACTCAGTGACTCATGATAAGTAAACTCCCCTGCAGCCATGAGATGTTACTGCTAATGACACAACTTCATCTTCCTGCTTATCACTCTCATGCAATTTGTCTCATCGTTAAAATACTTTCCCACTTGATGGTTGTGGTTTCAAAGGGTCAAAAGTTCCCGCTGTCATCGTCCAGCCTGAGTGACTCAGCTCAGACTTTTTCCCTTTTGCTCTCCAGCCTGGGAAAACCTCAGTGAATTACATAACCATCAAATCCTCATTCGGGCTTATATGGCGCCGTTTTCCAGCCCGTGTTGAGCAGACGTCCGAGTTAATCTGATCTCAGAGGCTCAGGAGGAACACAGAGAAATTCAACAACTGGAACACAGACGCAAAAAAGTCATTTAGTTCGCATAAACTCATTTATATAATGTCCTTGGGTAAAAAATTGAACCTAATTGTTTATTTTCCTCCAGTTTTGAATCTATTTGAAACCAAAGTAAATATTTTCGTACATCATAAACAATCTAATAACCTGTAAGAAATTGTATGACTAAAAATGTCAAATCATTAAAAATTTTATATAAACACTGAAAATACTTTATTACAGTTAATCTGTTTAGTTTTAAGATACAATAAATAAACTAAGGTTTATTTTTATTTTAAAACAGCCATCTTGTAATATAAAATAACACAAATACCCAGAATTGATGAGTTAAAAGTTGAAAATGTTTAAAAGCAGGGAATGTCTAATGTGTAGGAACAAATATGAGCCACCAGGGGGCGACAATGCACGTTTGTAAAAACTGATTTTATTTTTATAAAGATAATGTAGGATTTTTGCAACAATTTTTAACAGAACATACAAAAGCCAAGAATTTACATGTGACACATTACATTAATAAATATTAAATAAATATAAAAAGTTCAGTTATGAGACGCATAGGGTCAGGCAGGTGGTTATAATAGGTGCTATTTTTGTCATTTGTGTTTTTCCTGAAAAGTATTAAATAAGAATGATGTTTTATTTTTCTTTTCCAGTGAGGAAGGACCTGTGAGCAAACTTTTAAGACTACAGGCAGCAACATGCTGGTTCTCGCCTGCCAGCGTCACTCTGAGCCTCCATCATCGTCATTCTGTGTTGCCATCAATGTGCCAAATCACTGTAGATCCATCATTATCCTATTAATAGAAGGTGTTTGTGTGGTTTGAGATCCACTGTTCTGACAAAAAAAAAACACTAAGCTGCCACTGCTTCTTCCTCTCACTGTTGTTCACTGTGCTGGCAGTAAATATTTAATTTTCACTTTGTTCTCTTTTGCTTCTTTTTCTTTGTTTTACTGTAAATATGCAACTTTCTCAGCGGCTGGATCCCTGAGGACAGGAATGACTTTCCCAGAAATTATGTTCAGAGGCGATTCTGTCACCTGTAGTACCACAGTGCAGGTTGGACTGCTGTGTTCTTGCATAACATATTTCAATGAAGGGTTGTGCTCTCCTACACTTACAGTATCATGCAAAGCTTTTGATAGCACTAAATAATACTGATTAAACTTTCCCTGAACTTACTACTTCCTGTGCTGGAGCTTACCAGGGGCTTCAATGAGACTTTTGCTAGATACCTGTCAGATAATTTCCTAAACTTTATCGGTTATTGGCTTAAAATATTTCTGGAACCCATTATGCAGGATCCTGGAATGGTCTTGGAACCTACTTGGTACTTCCCAGGATTCTTCCATGGAACTTGCTAGGCACATCTCTTTAAACTACAAGTACTTTTCTTGTAACTTACCCGTTATTGGTTTGGGAATGGATCAGGTACCAACCTGGAATGTTCTCAGAACATACCAGATACATTTCTGGACAATACCAGATACTTGCCTGAAACTTACCAGTGATTAGCCTAAGACTTTTCTGAAACTTGTCCTGGAATGTTCCTATAACTTTCCTCGCAACTTAACAGAAACAATTCTAGAAACTATCGGGTTCTTTCCTGTAACTTACCAGTTATTGGGCTGAGACTTTCCTGGAAGTTACCAGGTACCAACCTGGAACTTCATTGGCACGTACCAGATACTTTTTTGGAACTGTTCCTAGAATTTACCAGGGACGTTCCTGGAAACTGCCAGGTACTGTACTGGAACTTTCCAGGCGCTATCCTGGCATTTTCATGGAACCTACTAGGCACCTCCCAAGAATCTCTCATGGAACTTACCAGGCACTTTCCTGAAAGCCATTGGTACTTTCCTGTAACTTACCAGTTACTGGCCTAAGGCCTCTCTGTAGCTTATCAGATGCTGTCCTGAAAACCATCACATAATTTCATATCTCTATCCTGAAATATTCTCGGCACCTTTCCTGGACTTAACACACATTTCTAGAAAAAAATAGCATTTTTCCTGTGACTTACCGGTTACTGACCTACGACTTCCTGGGATGCAGCATTTTATTTCCTGAACCTTATGAGATACTTTCCATACATTTACCATCCCTGAACTTGGCAGGTCTCAGACTGATGGAAAGGTTGAAGTCCAGCGTTAAGTTTCCAGTTGGTGATGGTCTGGGTTGCCATGGTGTTGGTCTACTGGGTTTTCTAAAGACCAGCTGTGTAGCAATATTACAGAAATTTGTGATTCCTTCTAAAGCTTTATGGACATGCAGATATTTTCCAGCAGAACTTGGTACCTGCCAAGACCGTTAAAGATCCCAAAAGCTAGTTCAGTGATATTACTTTGCTTGATTGGCCAGCAGATAGACCTGGACAATAAGGACCATATAAGATTGCTTAGCTACTTGGAAGTTAAATATAAAAATTCAGGGATGAATAAATAATACCATGTGTTAATTTCCTTAATTTGGAGATGTTAGTCTGTTAGCATGCTAAACATTAGCATAACTGTTTAGTTGTTTAGTGGTAGTTGTTACTGTGAGAGCCTGGTAGCATCTGAACACAGCTGTACTTTTTTGTGACATTAACTGATTGGTAAGTCTCCATGGTAACACCCTTATGTCCAAAAATTGCTTTGAACGTAACGGGTAAACATTAGCATGAAATGCTAATTTGTTAGCTACAAATGCTATAGGTCTGAGCTTAATACAGTAGTACAAATATTAGTTTTTCATTTCCTGCAACATGTTGTACGAACTTTCATCAAGACGGAGCCTTCAACGTTGTTTTTAATTATTAAATTGTCAAACTGTGTTGTCATAGTAACACTTTACAGGCAGTCTCATTTTATCTACAGTAAGTAATAAACATTGTCAAAATATTTTTGATTATCCAATAAAAGTTGTGATTGTTTAAAATACCTTAACCAAATTTGGATTTTATGTAAAAAGTGGGTTTTTTTGTCTTTGTCTGGCTTTAGTCCACATATTGTTTAAACCAAATGTGTTTTTCTGTGGTTTTTAAGACTACAATTGTAAATTTCTGGAAAATAAATTAATATTTAAAGTCTGTTTATCTGTGATCTCTTGTTTTGTTTGCTCGTATAATCAGAGAAATTCATCTTTTATAGCGTGAAATTATAATATGACTTGACTTGAATTGTGAGTACCAAGCATTATGCTAATGGGTTATTTTTATTTTAAAAACTAGTTGATAAATTACTAATAACCACTGTTTTTATTAATTTAACTCCTTTATATTCCTGTTTTATATAGATTTAGTAATAGGACATTCAGGGCCTCTTTGATTAATGCAGTGACTTAAAAAAAGCAGTGAAACTTCAGGTGTCCAAAATGTGACCCGGGGGCCATTTGTGGCCCCCAACCACAATTCAAGATTTGAACAAATTTGGCCCTCCAATACTTTTTTTGTGTCACAAAAGAACCAGTGAGGTTTTACTCAAAAACAGACTTTGTCACACCAGCCTCTTACATTTTCCTAAATACATAGTATGGTAGGAAATTGTTGAGAAACATTTTATAGACTTAAAATGGAAACTAAGCCCAAAAAATTACATTAAGTAAAATTGATTTCACAATACTATTTTCTTACAGTAGAACAGGGAGTCATTATTAGAAGTGCACTGCAAAAACACAAATCCTACCAAATATTTTTTGTCTAGTCTCTAATGTAAATATCTTAATCCACTTTAAATGAGACAAAACTAACAAGTAACTTTTCAGCAAGATACATGTTTGTTTTAAATCAGTAATTTCTTAATATTGATTTTAAAAAGTTAAATTTCCACCGTCAGATTTTTTCACTTGTAACAAGATATTTTTCAATGTTGTAAAAGTAACCAGACTAAAATTTTATTACCTAAGAATAACTTTGTGCAAACAAATGTCATGAACATATTGTGTTGCTCAGGCTTTGGTTGCTAGGGGACGGGCAGAATTCCACTGGGGTTGCTAGGTAACGGGGCAGATTACTTCACTTGTAACAAAGCATTTTTCCCACATTATAAATGAAATAATCTGCCAATGGAACTCATACTTATTCATAAATATTAAGGAATTATTTACTTTTTTCTTGCTGAAAAGTTACTTGTAAGTTCGCTTAGTTTTATTTGAAGTACACTAAGGTATTTGCACTAGAAACATACTTGGTAAGACTTTGTGTTTTTGTAGTGTGTCCCAGTGACTTTCCGCCTTGTTGTCAGCTGAGAGAAGCGTGTGTGTGAAAGGCAGAAGACAAACCGTGGTCAGATGCTGAAGAACCCGTTGACAGGAAAAGGAGGCGGCTCTGCTCCTTCCTGTTCAGCGCTCACAGCGTTCCTGCTCCAGTCCAACTTCCTGTCCGAGTGAATTCCGCAGGATTTGTGCTCCGTATCTGTTCCTGGATCTCGTCGTCGAGGGAAAGAGGCGCGGCGCCTCCACCGGACCCCCAGAGGGACGGAGGAGGTTTGGTTGATGGAGAGCAGAACCTGGTCTGATCCCAGGAGGGAGATCTGAGCCAACCACTGGAGAAGCACTGGAGGGAGGGGTCAAAGGTCACAGAGGGAAATAGACTCCATCTATCCATTAAACAAACCATCCATCCATCCATCCATCCATCCATTTTTGCTGTATCTGTTATTTAATTTGTTAAATAATATAGTAAAATAAAATAAAATACAATTTTCCATTGTTGTTTTTCTGTTACGGATGATCAGTTAATATGTTCCATAAAATCAGACAAACATAGAAACATTAAGGACTTCCTGTGGATTTTATTCAAAGTACAGAAACAGAAGAAAAATCTGAAATCAGTTCATCAGTTTTCAACATGAATTTTTATTTTGAATAAAAAGATTTTATTTCAAGTTTAAAATATGCGTCATAAATCCGTGTCCAGTCTTTCCTCAGCAGAGCCTCTGGGTGAGAAAATGGCCTTTTTTGAATCCCGCTCAGTAAATGAGTGATGAGTCAGAGCAGCGATACCATCAGCCGCACCTACTGCAGTTTCAACTGCACACCTGAAGTCACTAAGCCACGCCCACATACCTGCCACAACCAGGAAGAGATTATATGGACTTCTCCAAAACATTCACCGATATCTTTCCCAGCTGAAGACCCTTCCTAGCCCACCTCCTCCCCGCCCGGGCCGTTGGTTCGGGATAAAACCTGCGTTGGACCGGCAGAACCGGCAGAAAGTCGCGGTTTCGCCAGGTGAGTACGCCCTGTTCTGTCCGCTCAAATGTCGCCTCTGTGTTTTTTTTTCTCCGTGTTTCTCAGCCATGTTGGATCAGAATACCGACACAGACCGAGAAATAATGACTTACCTAGAGGGTTTTAAGGTGTAATAACCACCTTCAGTGCGTTTTAAGGTGGAATTAAAGGTTTAATTTATGCTGGTTTTGACCCACTTCGTGTCCAGGCCGCGGCTCTGTTGGCGTCCATCCAGGAATAAACGGTGTCTGTCTGTCTGTGGCCTGCAGGTTCGCTTCAGGTGTTATTAATGAGATGACCAGACACTTATCCACTATATTTAACCTCTAATGGGGTTCATATAAGATATTCAACCATTTTTCTATATTTAACTCCGGTTATTTGTCTCACTTTCACATCTTTCATATGAGAGATATTCAAAGAAATGATCTAATTTCTTCTTTTAACCGTTTAATTTTTAAGTTTCAAGCATAAATTGAGGTTGGATACTTTTGCTTTTTTAACTAAAAATGATAGAAAATGTTTTAGACATGGGAGATTCAATGTGGAAATTATTCACAATTTACTGGGTTAGTTATATAATAGTTTTGAATGAGGAAAAATACAAATGTGGAATTTTATTTTATGACTTTTAGAGGGGAAAATCGCTGCAGATGATCATAATTTTGTATAATAAAGTCTGACCAGTGTGAAGCACATTATCTACAAAAATAATGGAGTTTTTGCCTTTAAAATGTTCCTGGACAATAATTATTTAGGCTTTCTTTAGTAAAATGGTTTTTAATATTTTATTAACATAATTTACAGTTTCTGATGATTAAAAAAATCTACAAATATTTTCAGCTTTCTGTTTTTTACTAAAGATCCTCCCCCCTTTTTTTTTTTTTTTTTTTTTTTTTATAAAACCTTTTTTTGTTTTTTTAATTTTTTTTTTTTTTTTTTAAAAAATTTTTTT